GACATGGACACTTGTGTCTTGTATATACTTTAAAAAGCGTTGCATTGCACTTTGAAAAGCGTGCACAATGTAGATGCATATTACAGTACCTTCATAGTATTCAAAAGCAATGATGACAAATAAGCAATTTATTATAATTTTTTAAATTGATATGAAAAAGATAAGAAAAAAGTAATGAAATATTTATTTTATATATGCATCAAAATAGTATAAAAAACTTAACAAAAATTGTTTATCAATAAAATGATAATATAAAATGATGATATATTTGATGATAAAACTATATTTAAAAAACAATAGCCAGACTATTGTTTTACGTGTAGGTATTTCGACAAAATTCAATGGACTTAAATTTTGATTTTCAACACGTAGAAACACTTTTGCCTTGCGCGTAATATTCGTTTTCGCAAAAAACTCATCTGGCCCATTAGTCCCCCCCTTATTCGGATTCTAGATCCGCCGCCGGTCCAGGGTGTCGCCATTTGTTATTTTTCGATTAGGTGTGCCACTCGATGAAACAGGTTGAAAAACTCCGCAGTAATCGAACGAAACCGTACAGAAAAACCAAAGGAAAAGAGAAGGACGAGTCGGGCCGTCGACGCGCAAATCCGAAAATGAGGGGAGGAAAGAATACGCGGGACGGCCGATTTCTACCGGATTAAACGTGGCCGGGCTGGGTAAAATGGGCAAATCCTCTTTGCCAATTAAACGAGAAAGGCCGGAGCGGTAAGAAAGTTGGGCGCGCGAAAGGCGAGGAAATATTTCTACCGGGCGCGGGGGTGGAAAATAAGAAGCGACGGGCAATTATAAAACGCAGTTAGCGGCCCGACTCGGGCGGTGGGGCGGAAAAGCTCGACGGAGGCATTTTCTTATCCGAATTGCGAAACATTAAATTTCGTCGACCGGGGCGTAAACCTTCGATAAGGAAAACGGCCATTCGGCAATAATTTCGCCCGCGTCGGATCCCGGAACCCGACCCGTCGTTTACCGTTCTTTCCACCCTCCCCGACGAAAATTACCCGAGTTTTACCTATTAAATTGCGCCCGCCGATAGAACCTTTATCTAACCGTACCGGAAGGTGCGTTTATTTTTTAAAATGGCCGCCATCCGGCGCCGTTGTTTGCCGTTAACGGAAACGTTTTCCTTTTAACAGGAAGAAGAGTTAAAGCGGTGCGCCGGCCGGGAAGATCGCCTGACGGAGCTTCTCAACCGCCGTCCCGACGTCGACGCTCACCTGATGCAAGCGGTCCGGATACTGATGATGGTCTCGGCCCTAAAATTTCGCCGCGCTTTCCTCCGGCGCCGAACGGTTCCGGTCTTCGCCGCCCTCCTGTTGGCCCCGGACGACTCCCCCCGTCCGGGGGAATTCCTGCGCCGTCGTCCGAATCGGGCGGGAAAGGGAGCCGGAATCGACGAGGTAAGTACGCCGCCTAGACCGGCGCCCGTTTCTCCGCCGCGCACCCACCTTCCGTTTCTTTTCAGGCGGAGATGTGTCTGCTGGGCCACAGTCTGTCCGTCGTCCTCAGAGTGATTCGTCCCCACCGTCGCGGCCGAGAAGACTTCGTCACCCGTTATCCCCAGGAGGAGTTCCCTTCCGGACCGGAAGTCACCCTGATAGAGGAAAATCCACGGGGCTACCACGTGCCGGTGGGCTGAGCGGCCCCGGCTCCGGCCCGGACTCTACCCCAGAGAGAGGAAAATGGCGGAGGAAAGAAGACCCTTTCCCAGCCCGGTTTCCGGCCGCCGACGTATATTTAGAGGTGCACCCGTTAGAAATGGACGGAGCGGAGGCGGAAAAGACATCCCGGTTATTATTGTTGGGCGGTGTTTGGCCCCGAGACGAGAGAGTACGCGGGTGTCGTGTCAAAGAATACGAAAATAGTAAAAATAACATTTTTCGATTTTGTCCGGAGTCGTTTCTTCCCACGTCTGGCGCCTTACGTCTGGACGCGTCGGGAGGCGCAATTTACGCGCCGACGCCCCAGTCTCGGCCTTTTTCTCCATTATCGGCCGATGCCGAACTTATTTCGCTAATCCCTCTGCCGGGAAATTGCCGGAAGGGTTAAACGGGCCAAAGACCGAGCCGAGACTTCGGGTATCGGCGCGGGTTCTCCTCCCGTCCCGCGGCCCTTCCGGTTAATTATTACTCGGGTGTATTTTTTCCGCGGGCCGAACGGTGACGGGGCTTACGTTGCCGTTACGAGGCTACCGCGGAGGCTTTACGGGCGGAAGGGTCTCCTCCCGGATTTCGTCGGTTTCCGGGTGTGGGCCCGGCGCGGCCCCAAAAACGAAAATAAACGCCCGTGGCGTTTTACGTACCGAGCCGTCACGCCCGACGATTCGGGACCAGATTGGGAAAGTAAAAGCGGCAGAAGTACAATACCGCGCCGGTCGCGCGCTTACGCCCGTCACCGGGCCGCGGTTTTCTCGATAATCGAATGCGTAACCGAACTCGCACCCTTTCACCTTGGAAAAACTCGGCGACAAACGAAATAAAAATCGTCTTCCGTTCCCTGCCGGACCGCGGCCACCGGTAAAGTCCGTGGCCCCGCCGCTTCGGAGGGCGGTCCGTTACTCGCCCCCGCCCGGTAAGCGAACGGGTGGAGAATCCAGTTCGCTTACCGGATTCTCTTGGCTCCTCCTCTCCGGCGGAGAAGTCCGGAATCCCGCCTCCCGGACACTCTTCCGGAAAGGGGTCGAGGCTCGGGCCGCCCCGCCCGTCGGCCTAGGATGGTAAAATCGGAACGCCTTCCCATCTGGAATGTGCCGCGCTGCGGCCGGAGGTCGTCCGTTGGCCTCGGGTCCCGAGAGGAAAAGTTGCCGACCCGACGGAGGAAGATTCGTCGACCGAGCATTTATTCCAGCGAAGGATGAGCGCTTTCGCCATCTCGGTTCACGGTGGATAAACAAACCGCTCCGCGGAACGGTCGCCGGCCCGAGTGCCCGACTCCGCCGGAACGCTTATAAATTAGGTTTCGGCGGTAGCCGTTAACGATTAGGGCGGGGACGGTTTAACCCCCCTCACCCGTCCCGCGCCGGATCCGCCACTTTGGAAACGGGAAAAAGACGTACTGCGCCGCTTTCGTAAATAGTTTTGCGGCCGCCGTTACTTTACCGCGCGGTAAAAGTAGGTTAGGGGACCCCTAATTCCGGGGCCTTCCTCCACCGCGCTTTTACCCCTCCGCCGTGGCTACCTCCCGGGTACGTCCCGGATTAACGAAGGGGACGTTTCTTCTCACCCCGCTAGTAGGTTGGGGCACCCCGGAAACTGACGGTCCTTCGTTCGGATGTCGACTCTTCTCGGACCGTTTCCTTCCCTTTTATCTGTTTTATCGGCGCGGGTCTTTAACCCCTCCAGTCGTCGACCCGAGTCGGTAAGTTTCCCGGCCCGAAAGAGGGAGGAAAGCCTTTTCGAAAAGCCCGACAAAACCTTTTTTTTTTTTCTCCCCGCTCGCAGTCTTCCCCCTCCGATTCGCACCCGCTCTATAAAATCTCTCCTCCATTCTCCCACCTTCCCACTTTCGTTTCCCTTCTAACGCGGCGCCCGGATCCGCCCAAACTCCTTCCGAACGAGGGGACCGGAAAAGGGAGAAGGCGGCGGGCTCCCCGCCGGAGGAGCGGAGCGGTCGGGAAGGTCTTCCCGCTTTTTCGCTTATCGGCTCGGGGCCTTATCTCCTTCCGGGAAAGGACGGCGCCCGCCGCCCCCTCCGTGCTCCGGACGGAAGGGGACCGGAAAGCGGGATCCCGATGGGCCCGCGGACGGGGAAGAGGAAGGAGGCGGGGGTCGGCCTCCGGGAGTCGAGTGGAACCGGCGCGGCGGTCGACGACCCGCCGCCGACGAAAGCGAAAGCGGGGGAGCGACCCTTATCTGGGTCGGTGACGTCACCGCGCGTGACGAGAAGCGATATCGTCGGCGCTATTTAGGTCGACGATCGATTCTCCGGCGCTCAGTCGCTTCCCGACCCGAGAATGTCGCGCGTCGTTCGGAGGGCCGGGGATCGTCCGGATCCCTCGCGCGCCCACCCCTGTTTCGCCGGATGCGGATACCTGGGAATGTACCAATTGGGGGCGGCCGCCTGCTTCCGACTCAACGCCCCCTACCTCTTCGGCCGGAAGGCGGCCGGGGCCTCGGTGGGGGCCCTGGTGGCCGCCGCCAACCTGTGCCGAGTTCCCCTGGGTAAGCGCCCTCCGCCAGACGGAGGGAGAGGGGAGGATTCCGCTCCCTTCCTCGGTCATCCAGTAGCCTTTCCTTGCAGACGACTGCGCCCGAGGACTGGTGCGTGCGGCCGTCCGGGCCCGGAGAACTCCCCTGGGACCCATCAGCCCCGGATTCAAGATCCTGGACATCATCCGTCGGGGGATGGACGAGGTGCTGCCGCTCGACGCCCACCTGCTGTGCGACGGACGACTCTTCGTCTCGGTCACCCGAGTGTCGGACGGACGCAACGTTCTTCTGTCTCGCTTCCACACCCGAGACGAATTGCTTCAGGTAAGGACCGCGTCCAGTTCCGATGGGTCGGGCCGCATTTCCCCCGCCGCGGCGTCCGAAGTTAAACGTTTCGTCGGCCGGAGAAGGGGGAGAGAGAGGCCCTTCTTTGTATGTTGCCGTTAAATAGAGTCGAGCGGAGTTTATACCGGGTAATTTAAGGTAGTTTTGTCCGCATTTTCGGCATGGGAAGAAAGAGCACAGGGGAGGGACGGTAAGTCCGTCTCCGTCGTTCCTCGGCATTTACTTTTTCGTCCCGTCCAAGCGCGGGCGTTTTATTTATAAAGGGAACTTTTTTCCGCTCCCGTCGACGGGGCGCGGAAACCTGCCGCGACGTAGAAAAGCGGTCGTTACGTAATCCGTCCAGGCGCGTATTTCCGTGGCCGTTTTCCGTCGTAATCGACCCGTAAAAAACTCCGGTTCCGTCGACGAGAAAGATGGACGCCGGTCCCCGTCCAACCGAAGATTTTTACTTTCCCGCCTCTGTTACGTATAACAGAGACGTATAAGTGTGGCTGCGGGTCGAAAAATCAACCCCGGAGAATTTTACGTTTTTGGGCCGGGGGAACCCGGAACGTTGGGGAATTGCAACCAATTTGGGGGTTTTTTTCTTTTCGTTCGGATTTTTGTTGGGCCGGGGGTTGGGGCGCGATTATCTTCACCCGATTCCGAGCCTAATTGTCGAAAATCGGTTGGGAGGTCGACGTCCGCGCCGTTAAATTTCGGTGGTGGGGAGTAGACGAGGTATCCGGAGGGGGCGCTTAACGAAGGTTCTACCGTTATTAGCGTTTACTTTTTTATATAACTCTTCTCTACCCCGGAAGTTAAGGGTTTCGCCATTAACAATTTGCTAACGGATGGCGTCGCACGGTTTGCTCATTAATAGTACGATTAATAAGGTAAAACTTACTTTTGAAACGGAAGTTACGCCACCGGTTGCCCAGTTTTTTCGTTTAAAAAGTATAATACGATTTTCGGTCTGTCTTAAGTAAAATAACTTTACGTTTTCTTTGGCGTCGGCGAAAGGGTGGTACGGAAACTTACCAGCGACGGGGGTGGCGAGTTGCCCCACCACGAAATTTGGTGCCGGCCGAACTGGCGGTAAAGGAAAAGGTAAATAGGCGTCTTTACGTACCGCGTGGAGACGATGGCGGACGGTCGACGGCGTTTAGCTTTCCGCGTGGAAGAATTTACGGCTTTGGTCGACGACGTTTCGTTAACGGAATTAATCCTAAGCTGTGGAATGGGGAGGGAAACCCGGTTGGGAAGGTCTACCCCGGCCTATAGCGTAATATTCTCTTGGCGGCCTCGGAGATATAAACGCCACGGTTGTTATCGAAGTTACGGATATTTGGCCGTCCTCTTTCTTTCCAACCATTTCGTAATCTCGGGGTTTACGTCGAATTTCTACCGACGTCACTAACGCTACTGGCTCGGCAAATTAATCTCCGACGATTACCTTCTCCGCCGCCAGTAACGGTCGGATGTGTTCTCCCTTCCGTTACTTTCTTTTTTCTACTCCGTCTATCGACGTTGGTATTTCGGAAGAAGTAAAATTAGCCCTTTTTTATCTCCGAAAGTTTCCTGATTATATTCCTATCGGAGGAGTGATATTTTGTGGTAAAGGGGAAATGGGGTTACACCGGCCGGCGAATGGCGGGTGCGACGCTCGGCCGATGGACGATTTGGCCGCAGTTTACTATTACGGATCCTTTTATTCCCTCGTTTTGTATCGTACGTTCGAACCATCGAAGATCGAAAACGGAAGGGAGTCGCCGGCCTTACGGGAGACAATTATCGTATCTGCCCCGGAAAATATGGGATTTCGGTTCAAATTATTGTACGGCCGCTATACTTACGCCGTCCGTCGGTAGAAATATTAACTACGGAACCTCTTACGATTTTTACGCCCCACCCCTTCTTACCGGAAAAGAGCTTTATACCCCGTTTTGCCACGACCTTTTCGTCACTCCTCGTCTCCCTTATACCGCGCCAAACAAATCCGTAAACGGGCGCGATGGAAATTTTCGTACAATAAAACGTATAAACGTCTGGAAGCCCGATACTTAATAACCCGAACGTTGCCCTATCGAACCTTACCGCCGCTATTAACGATTAAATTCGGTGTAATTTGGGACTAGAAGCCGTAGGCGCGGATAATACGGTTCCGGCCCCGGTTTCCCTGGTAGGGCGGTCCGGTAAGCGAAATTGCCAAAGTGCACGTTTAATTGTACTTTCGAGCGGTTGCGGATCGGGCTTTCCGTCGCCGTGCGAAAATGTCTGACAGACCAGGCTTTCTGGCAAAATGGACAAACGAGACGTTTGATTGGAGTAAATGGGAAAGAAACTCGTCCCGCTCGTTTAAGTATTTATTTTATTAACTAAGGCCGGAGCAGTTTGACTTTTAACAAATAACGTGGCGCTTTGATTTCCTATCGGTTAAAGATACGGTTTTTCTCTTAAAAGATCATTTTCTCCCCTTTCATTTCTATTGTTTTCCGCCACCGGTTTATTAAATTTGGCGTCGTAGAATAACACCGAAATTTAAGAGCGATTTTCTAACCGTCTTCCATCCGCCGGAGTTAAGCGCCCTCTCTCGTTAAATTTAACAATTATAATTAAATAATTTACAATATTAGTTTGGTTACGATTCATTAAATTAACTGGAATTACTGGGAATTTAAATATCGAAAGTAGCGGTAAAATAGCCCGATTGGACGCGCCATCGTTCGGCGTATATTCGTACAATTTTAGCTTATTGCCTAACGCCTTCCTTTCTTTATATGTCGTCCTTCGCCGGCCTAAACCGTTTTTTAAATTTTTAGGTCGGCCCCGGGTAAAAAGCCGTTTAGACGGAACCTACTCGTATAAAACGTAACGCATTTTAGCGGTTTCGAAAAGTACGAAAATATGCGCGTTATAATCCGTAATATGCGGTATTAGCCGATTAACTAAACTTCCGGGAACGTAACCGCCCTCTAACGGAGAAAAAAGATATAAAAATAAAAAACCGAGAAAAACTAGCGTCCGTTTCGCTTAATATCTCGGAATAGGGTAAAGGTTAAGAAAGGAAATTTCGGGGGTGGAGATAGACCGCCCCTCTATCTGGACGGGGACGGGACTTTTAACCAAGATTTTATTCGTTACGAACATTTACGTTTATTTATTTTTTATAAAACGCGTCCCCAATCTGGAAAATTGAGTTTTTTGTCATATTATAGTAATATAAATGCAAAAGTTTTTATAACGAAATCCGATAACGGACGGCACCCAACACGATTTTATTTTTTCTTACGTCGGTAATTTGTTCCGGGACGGGCCACTTAAATCGAATTTACTCGTCGCTAGGCTAAACCGCAAATAACCGCTCCCGGCTCTGTATTTTATTTATATACGCATTTTTAATAATCTATTCTAAGCTTACAAACAAATAAATTTTAGATTTTAATATAGTTGGGAAAAAAAGTAATGTAAATTTACCAAATGGCGTACGTACTTGTAAATGTACGCGTTTACGGTACTGTACATCGCGGACTCTTTCTTCGCCGTAAGACGTTATATAATGTTATTAAAATTATGTCGCCACGGTAGAAAACAAACTAATTTATGTTAAATTTACCGATATCGAGTGGCGCCGACGCCGCCGCCAAACGGTACGTGTTGGAACTACCGTGGAAAAAGCTTTTAAAGAGCGCTAAATAAGACGACGGATGTTTTGGCGTTTCGTTGTCCGGCATTTCCGACGATTATTCTAACGTTTACCGCAAATGTACGTATTTGAATACGATTCGATGCGCTTTTAACGCTTTTCTAGCCATATTATCGCTTCGATGTTTGCGGCGGACGGACTTAAACTCTATTTTTATTTTTCCATATATTTCTTTCGACCAACGACGTATCCCGAGGTACACCCGTAAAAGTTTTCTTAACAAAAACTCGTAAGAGCCGGGAAAGTCGCGCCACGGGATTTTTTTCAATAATTAACCTTTACGTATAAATACTGTATATCGCGCGGACGGTGGCTTCGGTGGAAGGCCCTTTTTAATAAAAATATCTGATAATAGTAAATAGTTTTATTCTATAACTTGCGTTAACTATTGTTATTTTACCATTTTAAGTTTATCCGTTTACCGAAATTTATAATTCCCAAGATGATTTTAACGCCCTGTATTATTAATTTTACGTCGTTCGAACGTAGCCGAGTGGCGCGTCCGACGTTAAGTTTTATCCACCTAACCCGAGCGTGGACAACGTATAACGAATTTACGCGGCCCGCGAGTAATCTTCCGATATTAGCTACTCGAGTCCGAATAGCTGGATGAAAAATTCCCACCACTAAAAAACAAAAGCTCCGCGCGTTTAGAGTTAACCCTCCGTTACAAATCTCTTAAGTACGGCGTAGAATGTTGATAAAGCGCGATAATGTGAAAAATGTATCCGTAAACTCTATGTACAATTTAGACTGTACGGGATGACACCGCCACCAGATCTCGCGCCGCCTGGAAATCTTCCCGGTGCGGCCTGTGGTTCGGCCCGTGAAGAAAAGTTTTCTTTCCATTTCGGCCCGGGGGCAAAAACTGTCGGCCACCCCCGATCTAACCCGTCTTTCCGATTCGTTTCGTCAAACGCGATAAACGAGAATTAAGCCGGGGCGAACTACCTTCGTTTTCGTTTTTCGGAGTCGGCTCTCCTCCTTACTTCCGACTTAGGTCGCTTCCGCTCAAAATACCCTTAACCCGACGTTCGGCCGGTGTCGGAATTAATTCCGGCGGATTTCCGCCACGGTAAAATCTCGGGTTTGGCCGGTGGCCCAGCGGTACAGGTGGCGCCCTACCGTCTGGTGGACCCGAGATCGAAAAATCCCGGGAATTTTTCCGGTGTTGGTCCGTCCGTATACGTCGGACCTCGTCCCTGGCCGCCGGCAGCCCGTTGTGGGCCCGGCCCCATCCGTAACGGGTCGACTAAAAGAGGCCCTCTTAATGACCGCGGGACGGAAAGAGTTTTAAAAAAATCTCGGGTTTTATCGCTAAGTAATACGAAAGTTCCGCGGCATTGGGCTAAATTAGAATCTTATGGATCTCCTTTCCCTTCCTCCTCCTTTCTTTTGCCTTTCCGTGGCAAATTGTCGTTCCATTTACCAAAATCGAACGCTTTTGGCCGAACTCGCCTTCGGAACCACTCGGCCGATGGCTCGGTAAATCTTTAATGTGGAAAATGACGCGAGGACTTTAATTGCCACGGTTGGATAAACGGAATGATGTGTCTGCAGGCGCTGGTGTGCAGCTGCTTCATCCCCCTGTACTGCGGATTTGCCTATCCCCGGTTTCGAGGAGAGGTAAGTAAGACGGCCGCCGGAGACTCCGCCTCCGAGCCGCCGCTGACTCCCTAATCGTAGGCCTACGCCGACGGTGGACTCAGCGACAATCAACCCCTGTTGGACGAACACACCCTGACCGTGGCCCCCTTCTACGGAGAGAGCGACGTCTGTCCCACGGACTCTTCTTGCAGCTTGATACAGATCTACCTGGGCGGCACCAGCCTGGCGGTGAGTCTCTTTCTCTTCCTCTTCTACCGCCCTCTCCGCCTCTTCTCTCATCTCTTTCTCTCCTCAGATCACTCCCGCCAACCTGCACCGTTTCGGAGGCATTCTCTTCCCCGGGGACGCTCGCACCCTGGGCCGATTGTGCCAGCAGGGCTTCGACGACGCCTTCCGTTTCCTGCGCGACAACGGTAAGGATCGGGCCGCGGCCCGCGTTCTTCCTCCCTTTCCTCATTCCGCTTCTTTTTCAGATTTCCCCACGGCCTGGGGGGGCCCGGAAAGACCCAAGCGCCCGTCTTCCTCCTTCCCTCCCGACTGTTCCTATCCAGCGCCCACTCCGCGCCCGAGAGGTTCGGACATGCCGGAAACGGTTCGAAAAGGTAATTCCGCTTCCGCCGGAACAAGTCCGGCGGGACGGAAGGTAACGGGCGTCTCTCTTTCGCAGTTATCGAAGAAGAATCGTCGGAGACCGGCCTCCCGATCTTTTCCCCCTCCTTCCTCTGGCGCGGGCCCGGAAAGATGTTGAGGCTGCTGCGCTCGGCCTCTGTGCGACTGACCTGCCGCCTCTTGGACGGGTGAGTATTTCGCTCTTCCGGACTCCTCCGCCACCTTTCACCTTTCGCCCCTCTTTCAGGTCCCGTAAATTGTGCCTGGCCGCGGGGTGTCGTCTGATCGACGGGGCGGAGAAGCTGCTGCTGCTGCTGACTCGGGCGTTGGAAAAGTTGGAGCCCGACGCCGGTGGCTACGGGTAAGTTGCGTCGCTTCCTTCTTTTGGTCTTTCGCCGCTGACCTTCGACCTTTCCAGGCTCTACTGCCGCTGGGCCGTCCAAGAGTTCCATCCGGGACTTTGCCAGTCCAAAGCGGAGGGCGGAAATCCCCTTCCCGCGGAGAAACGCCCGGTGGGACGACTGCGCCTGCTGATGGATTCCGACCCGCTACCCGCCCCCACCGCCGACCGAGAGGAGTTGGATCGGGCGGCCCGGGCCCTGGCCGATCGGGCCCTGAGGGCCGCCCGGACGGCTCTGGACGGACTGGAGGGGGGCGGCCGCCCGACGGAACTGGAGGAGGTGCTGAAAATGACGGAGGAGAAAGAGGCGCTGATGTCCTTCTACTACCTGGACGAGAAGCGGAGGGTCAACCGAACTTCCATCTTCTCGATGGAAGACGAGAAGGGCGCGCTTTCGTAGAGGGAAAGAAGCTTCTTCCCCGGTGGAGCGGAAGCGAAAGTCGACGAATTCCGGTCCGGATCCCGGGAGACGACGAAAGTGGAATCTCCCGAGAGAGGGGGGCCTTCGGCGCCGGTCGAAATCCCGGTCCGAGAAGGTGTGGTCGTGTAATGACATTATTTAAGATAAATTTTATATTTTCCCACGTCTTTTTCGCTTACTTTTTGCAGGGGGTGGCTACCGAAGGGCGGCGCGCCGCCCACCCCGAAACCGCGCGTCCGAAGAGTCGGGTAAGACGGAACGCACTTTTCCTGCCAAGGGGTCGACCGGGACGAAGGGAAATTCGGTGCCGACAAACGGATAAGCAAACGAGTTTATCCGTGTGTCGGCAATTGTATTTTTCAAACGCTTGGCTTTTTACCCTTTTCCGGGACTCGGACATTACCGAAATGGGAGTTTTACGCGTAAATATCGTGTTTTTTACGTTTTAATCGAGATACATTGGCGCAACGTAGCGCCCTATCGGAAATATTTCGCCAATTTTACCTAAATACGAAAGTATAGTGTTTCGGACGAATAACCTAGTCGCGGCATAAAATATCGATGCCGGCTACGAGGAGAATACGTGCATAGGCGATCTTTCTTATTTCGGTGGTACAATTAAATTGTCTCCGGGAGTAATTAGCACGGCCGACCCAAATGGACGCAAAATACGCACAGAATATCGGACTTTCTTTCCCACGGTCGTCGCCGCGCGTCGGACCAGACCTGACGTAAAGGTGCGGATATTCTATCAATTCTTCGAGCTCAGTTTTTCCGAAATACTAAAATACTTGTATAAGGCATCCTGGCCGTTCCCCACTGTATCGGTCTTCCCTCACGAATTGTCTTTTTTTCTGCCGATGCCGTGGTTAAAACTTAATACAGTATAATAATTTGTCGCGTCGTTTCTCCTCCCATAGTGTCAAACCACCTTTCCCGGGGAAAAATACCAACGGAACGTCGTTGGTATTTGAATACAACATTTTTAAAACATTGTACAATAAATATTTGGAATGTCGCTAGCCGGACCTTCCGAGTTACGAATAAACGAAAATATAAAAGATAATAAAAATACCACAAGAAATCTTATCGGAGTACCGGCCTCGTCTCTGCTAAGAGTCGTTCAGCCCGGTCCCTCCGGGGCCGGGTTCGAGTTCCAGGTTTATTTTCGGGGGAAAATTATAAAACCGGATGGGCGGAAACGTTACCGATCCGTAGACCGCTACAATTACCTATTACGGTGTCTTCTATTCTTTGTAAATTTTAAGCAGTAAGCGATTCCGCGGACCGCGGATGTCTAGTAATAAATAAATTTGTGGCCTGGTCTGTTAGGAAAACTTTGGGTAAAGTTTACTTTTAATACGGGACGCGTTTTTTCCTAATTTTGCTCTGTCCAGAGACCTGGCTAGTAGACGCGACCTCAACAGATTTACATTCAATATTTCAATAACCATAGTAATTGTTGGGTCTATACAACACCTAGCGCTGAAGAGAATTGCCGAGAACCAAACAAAATATCTTCAATTTGATCGTTGAAATATTTTTCTGGAACGTTTACAATCGTTTTATAATCGAATCAATACGCGATAACAAATTCGAATTTAAAACGGTTCGAACGTTTTTAAAATCGAAATAGATAAAAATATTTATAACAATGTCTGAAATGTTATTAATTTAATACACCTAAGTACTCGATGAAGACTAAATCCTTTCCCTCACCCCCCGCGGGGGAATTTCTAAAAATCCCTTTTCAGGGTACATTCTCGTGGCATACCCTACTACAACGCAGATAAAAACAAAAAATCGCATCTAAAATAGCGCGGTAAAAGCCTTAATGCTCTCCCTCTCTCCCCCACTTGGGAATTTCGAAAAACCCTTTCTTAGTGCGCGTTTTCGTGACGAACCCTAACTGTGTACCAAATTTCTGCTCTTTAGGTCCAGCGGTTTGCTCCGGGCGATGATAAATCAGTGAGTCATTCAGTCAGTCAAGACAAGCAATTTTATATATATATAGATCACACCATTTCATAAATAAATATATTTCAACTCATTTTAATGTTATTAAAAATGAATTTTAAACCTCGATTTAAAAATTCTTAATCTAACAAAAGAGCCTAGGGCTTATGGAAGTCCAAAGGGGCCCCAATGGATTTGAATAAGCCCTAGGTCCCGAAAACCCTAGATTCGCCCGCTTGCGAGTAATGGCGCGTTTCCACCGGTACCAGAAACGTTCTTGGAGATTCCCTCTGGATATCCCCGAAGATCCACCGACTTTCGACGATTCTCTTCTTCTCGAACTTCCACCGTCCGAATTTCGACAACCCGGCCTTCTCCTCCGAGTTTCTCCGTCGCGGAGGACAAATGGCGGACGAATTCTTCTCCGCGGAAATAGTACCGATCGGCGATGGTCTTACGGGAAAGGCCGAGGTCGTTTCGGAGGCTTCCGTATTAATAAGGTAAGAATAAATCGCTACGGAGTAACGAGATGGAGGCTCCAACGTTGGAAAAAAGTTTCCGCCCGTATCGACTTACTCCACTGGCCAGGTGTCCGACGCTTCTTACCTCGCCGGATTATCTTTCCGCCGCGGAATCTCTCTGTTCTTTCCACGCGCAGAAGGTTACCGCACCGACCGCGGTTCGCTTCATTTCGCCAATTAATTTAATACGGTCTTCGAAGAAGTTGTACTCGCCACCCAACATACCGACGCTATAGCGATTCTGTAATCGCAGATAGTAAAGCGGAAGCCAAGGAAATTTCACTGGCGACGCCTTTTATACACACACTCGAACTTCTGGAATTCTTAAAGCTAGAAAAAATCGCGCGATACGGAACAACCTATCGCGAAGCGAGAAATTTCCGCTCTAAAAATCTATCAATGGCGGAGATTCGGATGATTGGCGTAGGGGTTGTCCATAGACTCCTTAAATTAATTAATTAAATGAGATCCACGCCGGAAAGGAAGGAGGGAGTTACGACCAGTCGGACGACGGGGGTTTGAGCATTAATGGACGTCCGTTTTATTTCGTAAACTTTATACAGTTTACGCGATCCGGGACGAGGCGAGAGGGAGAGTAAAAATTTCCAGAAAAATGTGACGTAATTTACGAACAGCCCCTATATAGTTAATCGAGATCTCCGGCTTTAAGCTTTCAATATCTGGTCTCGATTCTCGTCCGACTCGAAATTAACGATTGACGGACGGACGACCGACAGTGGTAATTTAAAATAATGTTAAAAGAAGTTTTAAAGTTAGGTATATAACTGTTGCTACGATAATTGTTGCCCAGCGATATTCTTCGCGCGTGTTGGCTAGATTAAAAACCGCTCATAAAACTTACGCTATATGTAATCCGCGGACTCTCGAAAACCGAAAATGTCTTATCTCGGGTGGTCGAGCTGTCAGAAAAAGATTTCTATTTAAAATTATGAAGATTTAGTATTTGTTAATAAAACTGAAGACAGTCTGCCCAATAAAGGACCACCATTTACTTTTTCCGTGTTCCAGACAATACACATTGTTGGCAACAGACCTTTCCTTTTAGGCTACTTGTTGCCAGAAGTTTAAAAAGTCCTTTTAAAAATACACAAAAATATATCCAATTGAAATTTCAAAAAAAGGAACTGGTGACATTCAGACGTCTTTCTTGCATCCATCGTACCTTCGTTTGGGGTGATATTGCTTTTATCTACTAAAAAGAAGCGCTGGAATATGTAGATTTCATGAAAGCTGCCCCCTGGTGACCATACTTGTAGATTTTCATGTGTAAATTTTTTCGTCTTGTAGCTTTCGTGAAATCTACATATTCCAGCGCTTCTTTTTGTGGCAGAAAGGAGGTTGCGCATAAACGATAACATTCTTTTTCGTCATTTATTTTATTATAAACTATAAAACAATAAAAGGACAAAAAACTAACGCACAACGCTTACGTAAAAAAAATAATAATTTACTAAATAAGTAGGTACATTTTGTCTTATTTTTCTAACAAAATATTACCTTTTATTTTTCGGATATTAATAATAATTATTGTTCAATGTCTTCCGTTTGTATGATTTTTAACACTCTGTTTGTTATTTTTGAAATTAAATTATCTTTTCCGGGAAAATCGTAACAGTAATTTTTTCCAATTAATTGTTTAGTCAGAAGGAAGCCGGCCATCGTTTCGGAGCTCGGTTTATTTCTTTGTTTCGCGTTTAACAGATTTATTTACCAAAGTATTCTTTCTACATTAGCCGAAGAATGGGGCGGACAGGAGATATTCTCGACAAAACCAGGCAGAGTCTTTGCGATAAAGTCTCTTACAATATATAAGAAAGGAAGGTACAAAGAAATGTTTTATTGACAATTTTTAGATACATCGAAAATAAACATTTCTTTCTCCAATTATCGTAAACTTTTCGGTAGATTTGGTGCTTCGATCGGTCCTAAAATCGGTAGACGCGGCAACACGATCGGAAAGAATGAATACCTCCGCCAGAAAAATAAATCCGGGGGAAATGCGTCGGCGGTCACGCGATCCGACCAGGTCTCGCGACAAGATCTGTAAGCGTCCGCTTCCAATAAGCTCCTCCGCGATATAAACGAGGTTTTGCAATGGCGGCTTCTACCGCGCGTAGTCGGTAAGTAATCCCACGAGTTTTCGTTTATAGCTATTATTATACGCGTCGCCCCCTAAAATTTCTATCTGTTGAGGACGCGTCTACTAGCGAGGTCTCTTTAAGAAAGCAAAATTAGGAAAAACGCGTCCTGTATTAAAAGTAAAGTTTTACTTATAAACTAGTGATGTAACGAATATTCGGTTACTATTCGGTCTATTCGGTCTATTTTTCGCTATTCGGCCGAATACCGAATACCTAAAAACAGGAGTAAGAAATAACAAAAACACAGTAAATTAATCATTTTGGTATTTACATGTAATGTTATCGGGTTAGTGTTGTTTGTTTATATTTATTTATAACATGCACAACATATAAAAGAAAATAATATTAGTCACGCGTATTCACAATTTATAATTACAAAGATCGGCACACGTACACGCCTATCGTTGGAGAATCCTCGCACATCCTAGGGTCCGATCCTGCCTATCCTTCTTTTTAAGCGCTCTTCCCTTTCTCTTTCCTCTATCACTCTAGTCCACGTATGAATACATCATAATAGGCGCTCAAGAT